AATGGGCTTCTCCACATAGTTCAGGCTCCTATCCACCTGAATATCATCCAAAGAAATAACTACAGCCTCATCTGCTACACACTTCCGGAGTTGAGACACATGGAAGGTGTTATGGATCTAACTGAGTTCATCAGGATGATATAACCAATAAGAAACCCTGCCACCTCAGGCAGAAATCCTGAACGGACCGGTCATCATAGCTTTTCTAACGACTTTGTGCGACTCGCAGCCTGTCACGCACCTGCTGAATCAACTCGGTGGTCTTAAGCACCACTTTGGTGCTTCCCATGACTCGATGGCCAACCTCCCCCCAACAAACCGGAGTCCTACACCTCCGACCATACAACATCTCGAACAGGGGTCGGTCAATACTAGCATGATAACTGTTTCTATATGAGAACTCTGCTAGTGGAAGGTAAGTATCCCAACTCCCTCCAAAGTCTAAAATACATGCCCGAAGCATATCCTCAAGCATCTGGATCATCCGCTCGCACTGCCCATCAGTCTGGGGGTGGTAAGCTGTGTTGAAAAGCAGCTCAGTACCCAACTCCTCATGAAACTTCCTCTAGAACCTGGAAGTGAATCGAACATCATGGTCAGAGACCACAGATACCGGCACTCCGTGCCTGACCACCACCTCCCGCACATAGATATCCGCTAATTTATCGGCGGAGATACTCTCGAAAATCTGAATAAAATGAGCACTCTTGGTCAACCTGTCCACAATAACTCAAATGGAATCAACACCTTGCGCCGTCCTGGGTAACTTTGTGATAAAGTCCATGGTGATCTCCTCCCATTTCCACATGGGGATGGGTAATGGTTGAACCTTGTCGTGAGGCCTCTGATGCTCGGCTTTGACCTTCCTGTAGGTCAAACACCGCTCAACAAAGCAAGCAACTTCCTGCTTCATGCAGGGCCACCAGTAACTCAATCTCAGGTATCGACACATCTTCGTGGCCCCCGGATGGATAGAAAACTTGGACTTATGCGCATCATCCAAAATCTTTTGCCTCACTCCCCCAAATGCCGGAACCCAAACCCTGCCACACCGAGTCAATAATCCCCGACTGTCTCGAACAAACAAAGGAATCTGACCCCTAATCCGCTCGGTCTTCCAATTCTCCTTCTTCAATCCCTCCACATGTTCCCCCTTGATCACATCCATCAAAGGTGAGGTAACCGTCATCCTCAAGCAAACATCTCAAATCGGAGCACTTGCTGCCTTACGACTCAAAGCATCGGCCACCACATTGGCATTCCTGGGATGATACAAAATCTCGCAGTCATAATCTTTCACCACATCTAACCATCTCCTCTGCTGCATATTCAGGTTCGACTGATCCATCAAATATTTCAAACTCTTGTGATCGGTGAAAATGGTGCATCGAACCTCATATAAATAATGCCTTCAATTCTTAAGGGAAAACACCACCACCCCCAATTCCAAGTCATGAGTGGGGTAATTCGCCTCATGAGGCTTCAACTGCCTCGAGGCGTAAGCAATCTCATGTTTTCTCTGCATCAGAACAGCTCCCAAACCTGAAATAGAAGCGTTACAATACAATGCAAAATCATCCAATCCCTCGGGTAGCGCCAAAATCAGGGTCTCGCATAATTTTTGTCTTAATGTCTCAAATGCCAATTGCTAATCTGGACCCCACCGAAAAGTCACACTATTCTTGGTTAAGCGGGTCAAAGGTACTGCAATCTCGGAGAAATCCTGGATAAATCTCCAATAGTATCCCGTCAGACCCAAGAAACTTCGGATCTCGGATGCGTTCTTCGGAACCTCCCAACGCATCACCGCCTCATTGTTGGCCGGATCCACCAAGATACCTTATTGGTTGATGATGTGCCCCAGAAACTACACCTCACGCAACCAAAACTCGCATTTGGAGAATTTGTCATATAACCTCTCCCTCATGAAGGTCTCCAACACCTCCCTCAAATGTTGCTCATGTTGCTCCTTGGTCTTAGAGTAGACCAAGATATTATCAATGAAAACGATCACAGACCAATCCAGCATCGGCCTGCAAACCCGATTCATGAGATCCATGAACGTTGCTGGAGCATTGGTGAGCCCAAATGGCATTACCACAAACTCGTAATGACCATAACGAATTCTGAAAGCCGTCTTCGGTATATCCTCATCCCTGATCCTCATCTGATGATACTCCGACCGAAAATCAATCTTGGAAAACCAATATGCACCTTGAAGCTGATCAAATAAGCATATTCTCATTAATACTTATGGTTCTTAATATATTAAGTCATAATTTTGGCTAAAAAAAATAAAATTTCTCATTTTACCCTTTTGGCCTAAATGCATCTTCTCTTGCATTTTTTTTCTTGGACTTACTTATCTAATCTCATACAAGTGACTTAAACTTATCTTGGTCATTTTCATGAAGTCACAACTTCATAAGCTTATGAAATTCTTCTTAATGGTCAAATTACCTTTTTTTTAAATCTCTCTAAATTTTTTATTCTTACAATTAAGATTAATAGATATTTATAGAAGGTAAAAACAAATAGAGGAGTTGTTTTTACACACATTTTTTAGTCATACACAATAACTTATCATACATACTTATAAAGCTAGCATTTTTTCTTGAATCTCATGCATTTGAAACCCCCTTTTTTAACTTCCTCAAACCACATTCATTTGAAACCCCATTTTTTAATTAATGCAACTCAAAAGTTTTCTTAATTATGATTTAACACTCAAAAGTTTTATAACTTATATTATTTTTAATTAGCATTTAGTGAAAAGTTTACTATAAAAATGCCAATCTTTTGTGTCTTTTGTGTTATATAAAATCTTACATGTAAGAAGGATTTGAAGATATTGTGATTCAAAAGTTTTCATATAGTTGAAGCATTCACGATCCAAATATGATGATTTGAAGAAATGGGTTATGTCACATCGATGGTAATTGTAATATGATTTTTTATTTCAACCAAAACAAATGAAGCTTTTCTATTTTTTCTTTATATTCAGTTTCTCATTTAATCTTTATATGTGATTTGTGTGTATTACTCAATCTTGAATGTGACTCTCCAAACATCAATGTTTTGCTTGGAATATCTTTCTGATTCTTCTTTTTCAAGAAAATTATTTTGATTGCAGGTTAGTGAAGAATTGTCATCAAGTTTCTATGGTTGAATGGTGTTAAATGAAGAAAGAAGATTCATAAAATGGATATATGTTTTTTTGTTTGAGCAAAGTTGACGAATGTTAGTTTTTTCTTTTGATTTAAATGTATGTTTATTTAACATCTTTATTTATATATTCAACCACCCAATGCTCTTATTTATTTGATTGTAGTTTTTCTATTTTGATTATGTTTATTTTCTATTATTTTTTTGTTGGGTTATCCTACAAAAAACATATTTAAAAGATAATATTTAAAAGATAACATAATTTTGAACATTTGATATGTAATTATGATAGACTTATCATGATATGTTCTTCATATGAAAGTAATTTATCCATACTACTACGACAAGAATTACATATGACATTTACGAAAATATATATATTATATGTGATTTGTTTAATATGTATATGCACCTATGTATGTTATAAATTTATAATTAAATATCTTTATGTTTAATAATTGAAGGGATTAAAATGATGCATCAAAACCAATTATTTAGACGAATATAATAATAAAAATAATAATAATAATAATAATAATAATAATAATAATAATAATAATAATACATTTCAAGTACTGCATTCATTTGAAACTCACACTACAACTCAAAAGTTTTCTAATTTATGTATATTTATTAGTTACAACTCAAGAGTTTTTAACTTATGATTATTAATTAGTAATCACTAATAACTTTTTATTTTCCTTTCTTTTATAAGGTTGTAAAATTTTGCTCATTAAAAACATTAGTGTATTTGAAGAGATTTGTTATTTAAATATGAAGAGTTAATATAAATGTTATAATAGATGTTTTAGTGTTTTTATGTTATTAAAAGTTATAGTGTTTATTTTTCTTATTTTTTATTATTCGTTGTATATATATATTTTTTAATACAAATGTTATAATAGATGTTTTTCTATTTTTATGTTACTAAAAGTTGCAGTTCATATTTTTGTTCATACGTTTTGTTACCCGTTATATTATCATTCATTTGATATATAATTTACACAATTTTAAAAGGTTTATAAAATTATCAAATAGTTGTATATATCACAATGACTTAAAAATTAAACTATAATGTTTAATAAAACTAATATGTTAACTATATGTTTTCTTTACTACTAACATTTTGTTTCGAAGTAGAAATATTAAATAATAATTTGGTAAACGTTATTATTTTAACTATATAATTCTATTCTCGCGCAACGCACGGGAATTCGCCTAGTATTTTATATAGTTGTACAATACAACCTTCTAAACATAAATTATTATCTATAACTAAAAAATGTAGGGTACAAATTATCATCCAAAAAGATAAAATAAAATCAGACCGTTCAACGGTCAAAAGAGAAAGCGAAGAAAGAGACTTTGGAGTGGTTCTATTTATAACTGAATCTTAAACAAGGTCATCACCCTTGCCGACGCGATGCTTGTTCCCGTTCGACATCGTCTTTCCAAGTCGTCGTTGTCGGTTGCAGCCCTTGTATAAGACATTGTCAGATATTCTTACCGCTTACCACAAAATTATTTGTGATTTGGAAATGATTATATAATATTAATAAATTAAAATATAGTAACTAAAAATAATTAGATAATAAATTTGTATTTATTTTTTATTACAACAATTTTGCCAATTTATTTTTAGCTATGGAGTATAAAAATCAAAGTAATACTAAATTACTAATCAAACTTTGCCACACATCCAAAAGGACAAAAACCTTTTAAACCCCAATTAGATATATTTAACCTTAAAAAAATATGATATTTTGGGTGCATTCTATGGATTGCTAATGTGTTCCACAAAGGCTAACACGTGGCTTTTCTTCCGGGAAGAAAAACCTCCTCTTTTAGATTCTTGAATATCTTATATAATTAAAAACTTATTTATTTATTTATTTATTTTTAATTTTTTTATGATAAAAGGAGATGGAAAATTTGAAGGGTTATGGTTTACTTCGGAAGGGCTTTTCGATTTCTCTCAAATTTTACGAAGAGAGAAAGAGAGTGTAGGACTCTGCATGTATATATAGAGACAGAATCTGTATCTATACACCCCATTTATCTAATTCAGACAGTAAGCCATTGATACTACTAAACGGCTATAATTTTCAGGGCTAAAGTGATTCTACAAGTGATTTCTATTGTTTTATGTAATCCGACGTTTTTTGTTGGGTTTTTCATCTATGAATTTCGTATGTTCGGTCATAAACAAAAGGGTTTAATCAGGGTTTCTGCTAGATTTAGAGGAAGACAATTAGCCCTCTGGATATCGGGGGCTTCCAATCTGCATTACAGTTTCAAATAAGGTTCGATTGTTCTTCAATCGTTATTTTAGCCCTAATAATGCCTGATGTTTATTCAACTTACAAGAAGCGAGATGATATCTGCGATGATGTTTGTGGTCAGGTATGTTTGTCTATAACTGTATCCTTTTAGGGCTCTTAGTTTTTTCACTGACAGTTATGATTCAGAAGACTAATCCTTCTGGGGTTTCGTTTTTTCGCGGATTGTGATGAATAGGTACTGTTTGATTTTGGGAATTTCGATGATTTGATGGGAATGGAATATAAATTTGCTCTTCAAATTGTTTAGGAAAAAATCCATTGATGTTAGATGAACCCTAGAACTATTGGGCTCACTCTATTCGATAATTGTGCTTTAATCTTTGTGGGTATTGCTCAATTGTGCTTATTCTATATTATCACCATAATTATTAAGAAACTAGATGGATTTAAACTATATTAAAAGTTGGAGATGGTTGCATTTTGGTGGTGATTGCAAGTGTTATGCTTATTTTATTAGGGTTTAAAAACTTACGCACACTGCACAATGGGTGTTTGCCTGTTTGAATGTACTTTTCAAACTGATAATCATGACAATAGTCAGTTTAAGAATCAGATAATAAGATGATTAAAGCTACTAATTTTTCATTTATCTCAATAATCTACACTATTATTGTAACTTCTTACATGCTCCTTCAAATCTTGAAAGTCTTTGCAAGAATCATATCAGTTTTTAGGCTTTCTGTCATTAAATGTTGTCCTATTTATGTATCAAAATGCTCAAATTTTAACCATTTTATGTTTTGCAGGAGGTTAGCAGAATGTCAAGAATCAAATGCATGATGCAGAGTCTTGATTTGAGAAGTTTTATAATATTATTTTTATTAATCCCAATTGGGTTTGTGGGTATTTATTTTCATGGACAAAAAGTAACATACTTTCTTCGGCCACTATGGCAATCTCCCCCTAAACCCTTCATTCAAATCCCCCATTACTATCACCAAAACGTCTCAATGACAACCCTCTGCAGACTCCATGGGTGGAAATTACGAGAATACCCTCGAAGAGTATACGATGCAGTCCTGTTCAACAATGAAATCGACATGCTCATGATCAGATGGAAAGAACTTTACCCGTACATAACCCAATTCGTTCTCTTAGAATCCAATTCAACTTTCACATCGATCCCAAAACCCCATTTTTTCGCAATAAATCAAGAAAAGTTTGACTTTGTAAAACCCCGTTTGACTTATGCCACAATCCCGGGTGGATCAAGAAAAGGGATTAATCCGTTTTATGAAGAGGCGTATCAGAGAGTTGCGGTTGACCGGCTTTTGAGAATTGCAGGTAGGGTTAATTTCATTAATGGGTAAATGAAATTTATACTTTTTTACAAAACACCATTGTTGTAATTTGTTTATGACAATTTTACCCTTTTGCAGGTATTGAAGATGATGATTTGTTGATAATGTCAGATGTGGATGAGATCCCGAGTGCACACACAATCGATTTATTAAGATGGTGTGATGGGTCCCCCGACATCATGCATTTAAATTTAAGAAACTTTTTATACTCTTTTGAGTTCAATATCGATCATAAAAGCTGGAGGGCTTCAGTCCATAAATATAAAAAAGGGAAAACCAGGTATGCCCACTACAGACAAACGGATTATTTATTTGCAGAGTCTGGATGGCATTGCAGTTTTTGTTTTAGAAAAATAAGTGATTTTGTGTTCAAGATGAAAGCTTATAGCCATTCAGACAGAATAAGGTTTCGACATCATCTTGATCCCAAAAGGATTCAGACAGTGATTTGTAATGGGGATGACTTGTACGATATGCTTCCTGAGGAGTACACTTTTAAGGACATAATTGGGAAAATGGGTCCCATTCCTCATTCGTATTCTGCTGTTCATCTTCCGGAATATTTGTTGAAAAATGGTGATGAGTTTAAGTATCTTTTACCTGGGAATTGTGTTCGTGAAGCTGGGTAGGTTGTAAGGTACAAGTAGGCAATGCAGGGGAGAAAGTGGGTATTTTGATATGTAACGTACAAGTAGGAAATGCATAGATGATGTTGATGCTGCTTTTTTTTTTTTTTTTTTTTTTTTTCTGTTTTTGTTTATTATGCAACAAATATGCCTTCCAACTTGAATTTTTGAAATATGCTTTATGGTCAGGTTTTTAGTACTACTCTCACTTCTTTGCATTGTCTTTTCTGTCCTTCCATTTTTATTATAGATAACCAAATTTTTGGTTAAAGGACAAGGTTGTTATGGTAATTCTTTTTTGATATTATTACTTTTTGTTGTGGGTTCCATCTCATTTTTTTTGAAAGTGATATGTTTGTCTCATAACAATGACAGAATTCAGTTACATTTTGTCTGTGTTTTTCTATCAAGTTTTATTTAAAATAAATCATGTTTAAATGATAGAATTTAGTTGAAGTTGTCTTTGTTGTTTATTTTACAAATCAAGTCATTTGGATAAACAATGTTTGGGAAGATGTTAATATTTTTGGAAAAAACTAAGACAAATTTATAAAGAAAATGGGATTTAATGGTGTTGTTTTGTAACTTCCATTCGTATTAAATGAAAAGAACATTTATAGTTATATAACTTATTGTATTAATAAGTAAAACTGCATATAACTTGTATATAATACTGAAGGATTTATCAGGGTAAATGTTGAAGAAACAAACAATAAAGTCGTTGTAGTATAGTGGTAAGTATTCCCGCCTGTCACGCGGGTGACCCGGGTTCGATCCCCGGCAACGGCGAATTTTGTTTTTTGCGTCTCATTCTTTATGTATGTAAGTGCATCATTTTGAGAATTTACAAATTAATAAAACTTACAATTCTCCCCATTCTTCTTAGCTGGTATTAACGTGATCCTTTTCAATTTTCAGGAAATTCTTCTTCTTCTTCATTAATTCAATCATGTCTGAATCTGAAGATGATCATTCCAATGAATCTACAGTGTTCAATCTTTCTAGCCCCTTTTACATAATTACATTGGATCTTCTCGCTCAATAATGATCTCTGACATCTTCAATGGCATTGGATATAGTGTAACCATGTTAGCCTAAACAAGCTCTATACCAAAACAAAAGACCTTCTATATGCTCGAGTTTGGGATTCAAATAATCAGATGATATTTTGATAAGTTGGACTTCAACATATCAACGATTACTGAAATTATCACGTTAAAAAATCGGTGTTTTCTATATTAGAATAAAAAGATGATATTAAGATGCTGTAGTACAATCAGGTGTTTTATATTTTATGCTGACCATTCAATCAAAAGTCGTTGTAGTATAGTGGTAAGTATTCCCGCCTGTCACGCGGGTGACCCGGGTTCGATCCCCGGCAACGGCGTTTTTCCAATTTTTTAAAATGCACTCACTCTCCTTTTATTTTTGATATAGACACCTAAATTTTATTACATTATCATTTATTTTTTTTAAATAAACCTCTTCATGATAGAAACGTGTTTAGATAAAATAAAGAAAGTAAGAAACATCTAGAATAAAAAAAACTTAAAAACATTAAAGGTTTTATGTATGAATATCGCCTCTGCATAGTCAAAGTCAAATCACGGCTTGTTACAAGTATATAGTGTTGAACATAAAATAAGTTTCTGGAGACCAAGTACATGACATAAAAGTCTTTATTATAAAACGTTTCACACATCTTTCGTATCATGACATATTATATATATATATATATATATATATATATATATATATATATATATATATATATATATATATATATATATTAAAGTTATGAAGAAAAGTAACAGTAAATATGCAGCATATTTGTCTCTTTTGGTCCCTTTACGTTCCAGTTTTGGCATGATTTTTGTAAGGGGCATTTTATGGAAGTTTGTATATTCTTTGGACACGTATCCGGAAACCCACCGCCTTATCTTTTGTCGGTCTGTTTTTTCATTTTTAATCTTCACCGGTTGAGATCGATATCTTCTCGATTCTTCTGATTTTTCTGCTTCATTCTTTTCTCGCTCCCCTCAAGCGCACCGGTGGAGACGAAGCTGACGATCACCCCACCCCCACACTATCGTCTAGCGATTGGATCGTCTCTCTTCCGCCACCATCAGAATCTACCACCGCCTCCATGATCGAAACTCCACCGACCTTTGGTAGGATGAGTCACCTCCAACTTCTTCGGCATGTCGATGTTCCTCAAAAGCATCGATCGTCTGGATTTGGGTCATCGGTGCCTCCACCAACATCTCACGTCCCGATTCTTCGCTGTCACGTCACCCCCAAATCTGAATTCGCTAGGTTTAGTTCCCTCTTTCGAATATTGTTGGTCTCTCGCATACTCCCATGCCTCTACTTCCCCCATCTCGGACGTCGCCTCCCGCTCTGTGCTATCACCATCCTCGATTGAGCTTCCAATACCGGTGCACCTCACCGTCATCGCTCCACCAAGGCTGTGTGTCATCGCCGCTTCTGCCACCGGTCCACCTCGGACTCTTCTGATTTCGACTTCTACATCTGAATCTCCTTCTGTGACCTTCCTTTGTCACATATACCAATGAGCACCAACGGCAGCAGATGCTTTGTACTCTTCAGGAGATTGAACCTTAATTTCAACTCTTAAACTTACTAGCCCTAGAACCATTCTTAGGTATGTATACGTATAATCACACGCACAAAATTTCTTTTATTTGTTTCTCGAAAACGATTACGCTAGCAATGTCTGAATTAATCTGGTCCTAAATTTTTAATCGATGGGTCTGAAACCGATTTTTTTTTCTTTTACGTTCATAGATCGATTTTGGGTTCCAGCCGTCTCCCTTTTATCGATCGGAGCTTCACAAATTGAACGTTTCGGAATTCAGATAGGTTTGATCCCTAAAATTTTCTGATTCCATGCTCTGACCATTTAAAAGTTTGGATTAATCACTTAATTGGTAATCGACATGCCCTCCTTACTGTGTGGGAAAGCAAAGAAAAGGACCCTTGTCAGCGACTCCTACTGATTACGTGAGTTCCTTACCAGTTTTAATCAGGTATATTAGATAAGATTATTTCTCCAACTTTGTTTGTTCATAGGTGACCCCTCTAACAGTCGCCAAATCAATAATACGTGATCAACGTCTCATCGTGGTTTCAAACATATTTCAGGATCAGGTGCTTTTGGGCATGCAACAAAAACTTGACAAATTATGTCAACAGGTGACTTACTTGAAGGACCAGCCTAAATGATTCTACACATGCCTTTCAGTAGGTAATGTGTAAACTATCTCATAAACAACAATTTTATCCGGTACAACTCGAAAATCGAATGGTAATTGCACATTTATACTGCCCGATATTTGTTAAAGTAATACTTTTTTCCTTATGGGATGATTGTTTAAATCTATTTTCAACTCATGAATATGGGACTGATATTGTTGTGTGGCTTTCATCTACGGTTCTCGATTTAGATGTGGGTAAAGACGGTAAATGTTTTGCACATGTAAGGTTTAACCGGTCAAATTGGGTATTGGGTCAACCGGAAGACTGTCAGTTGACTGCTCAACGGTTCGACCTTGGGTGTGTATTTTGCGTAGTTCTATGCAACCTAATTATTTATTATTTCTAATAGTTAATTAATTTTTTATTTTCATTACAGATTCCAACTTTTTATGTTCAGGTAACCAGTCATGACTCCACCCTTTTAGGTAGATGTAGAAGAACATATGCGCATGCTCATGACTATCATATTAATTCCATTTCTAATAATAGGTGTGCTTCAATGCTTTTGCTTTATTTCATATACATTCAAAATGTTATCTGATTAATTATTAATTATTTCCATTTTTTAGTGATGGTGAAACATTGATCTCAGCTGATGATTTACGCATAAACCTTTGGAACTTTGAAATCAACAGTTAGAGTTTTAATATTGTTGACATGAAGCCTGCAAACATGGACGACTTAATCGGTAATAGTATTTTTTTCTTCAAATTAAAAACTAAATTATAATATTTTCAAAATTGCTAACAATTGTTTAAATTTGTTTGTTTCAGAGGTTATAACTTCATGTGAATGTCCTGAATATGCGCATGTGAATGTGAATGTACTGAATATGGAAGTAGCATCGTACTTTCATATTGTTCCATTTTCTTAAAAGTATGATGTTGTAACAAGAAAAAATCAGAAGTACGATGCTATTCTTGGTTCACTTTTCAAAATATAACAATATAATTGGTTTATTTTTGAAACTAGGATGCTATAAAAAGCTTATACTCTGACTTTGCATTGTTTTACTAGGTGTACGAAGGCTTTGCCATATGTCTGCTATAATAGAAAAAATTGAGAAGTGTCATATGCCTGCTATAATAGAAAAAAATTGGGAATTCATAAGAAGTATATGAAGTGCTACATACATAAAGCATAAATTTCTTGAGTTGATTAACCATCCTGGTGACAACTCTTTTACAAATGTATGCAGTTGATAAGGTTATTTTTTTTATTTAAAAAGTTCAAAACTTCATACACCTTGCCAAAACCTTTATTTTTGTACAATGTTTTTTTAGGAATAGAAAGAAATAGGGAGGTGGAATACGGGAAACATAATTTGTTATGGCTTTTGTTGGCTGGAAATAGACTGAAAAGGAGCTGCAACCAATCAAGCATCTTTCTCTGTTTAGTGTCGTGCCGACTCTAATTTATTTTTAGCTAGATGGGATTGAGATTCTGCCCCCCGCGGAGCGGGGGTAACCCTCTAGTTAATATTAATGTTAGTGTTTACCAAATATTATGATTGTGATTTTGATGTCAACAGAAGGAATTTTATTACCCTTGAAATAAATAGCTTTTATATTTTACAACCACAACAACTATCATCTCATCTAACTCACTTCATAATTTACACCTTCTCCATCAACAATACTTGTCCTATTTTTACTTGATAAGTATGTTCCAAAACTACCCTTTTGTCATATCACCAACAACACTGATAAAAGCACGAAAACGGACCACCTTTCGGGGTGTCATGCAGGGGCGTTGTCGGTATTTCATCTTCTTTCGAGATCAACGTGCTTGTTCCAGGGGAATCCGGCAGAAACACGTTGAACATCCGTGGCGGCACCGCGGTGGCTTCCGGTGGCGGCGGCACCGCGGTGGTTGACAGGTAATGGTGAAGCATTTGTATAATTTGACTGAAATTTGGCCGACCATTCGGATCTTCCTTCCAACAAGATGTCACAATTAAAGCCAAATCCTCAGGCAGTTCATCAGCACTCGGCCTCACATTCTGCAAAACATTAAATACACTGTCAGTATAGCCAGTAACCAGTACACAGTAGACAGTAGACAGATACCTTAAAGGCGGCTGCATAGGCGGCTTGAAGATTTGACATGCCTTCAAAAGGCAACTTATTGTGTATAAGCTCCCACAAGACAATTGCAAAGCTGTATGCATCTACCTTGTGGTTATAATGTTTCTTTTCTCCATGTCTTAATGTTACAGTGCTATAAAGCTATAAAAAAAACACAAGAAAACAAAGTTTCATAAATATCGAATTTAACCCCGAATAACGAAAAACATTACAAAAGGAGTACATTAACATACCTCTGGAGCCATCCAGCGATAAGTTCCTGTTTCTGCAGTCATCATCTCTGTTAACGATTCTTCTCTTGCCAAACCAAAATCAGCGAGTTTTATAGATTTGTGATCGAATGTCAACAACAAGTTTTCTGAAACAATTTGCTAAGAATTTAACAAAGGAAATATATATTAAAAAAACATAAAAATAAAGAGAAATGGGAAATCTAATTTACCAGGTTTTAAATCACGATGAATGATTCCATGTGAGTGTAAGCATTCCATTGCTCGAGCTATATCAAGTGCAAACCCAATAGCGACACGTGTATCCAACAATCCCCTTGGTCGCATATTTAATAAATATTTACGTAATGTGCCACCAGTAAGAAGCTCGGTTACAATCACCATGATTGGTTTCTTACAAGCTCCAATAAACTGTAGTGCGATCATATGAATATTCATACAGAATGTTTCTAATTGTTGTAAGATCTGATATAATATTCGATCAAGATTACCTTTACTAAGTTCTTGTGTTGGACTTTAGACAACATGGCGATTTCTCGAGCAAAACGACCTTCGATCTTTGAAATTTCTTCTGGGGTGTCGCCTTTGTTTATTATCTTAATCGCAACATTCTGGTTTTTATATCTGGAAAATAATGATATGAGATCCCATCTTCCTAATTAGTACAATTTGTTTACTGAATTAACATGGCATTTTGGTTAACAAAGTTGACTTACTTGCCCTCATAGACTTTTGAATGTGCACCTTCTCCGATCTTTGGACCAACAAAAAGAAGCTTCGGATCAATCGACCACGTTGCTTCCAAATTAAACTCCCCTGTTGAGTAAAACCCATTCCCGGATCCCATTTTCTTCAACTTTTTATCTCCGAACACTCGTTGGGGACTTTTCACAAACACTTAACAGGCAAAAAATTTAACACCGCATTCTGAAGGCATAGGGTATATACCCACGATATAAAACAGATACATACAAGATCAGCAACAGAAATAAGCAGAAATAAGTCGAAACGCACTTTATTATCGAAAAGTTGGAATCGGGTTAACTTTATTTGGGAAATAAAATCAAAATATACGTGTTTAAACTCCAATTTACACCACAAATCATACAAACAGAACTTAGAAACCGATTACAAAGCTTCAGTTCAAGAATCAACGCAGACAAATGCAAATTGGACTTGAAAGAGAGGCAGATGTTGGAGGTTATAGTATAGGGTAGAGATAAAAAAGAGAAGAGTATTGTAAAAGTTTTAGGCTTTATGTGGGGATTGTGTTGTTGCGTTCTTGATCGGCAAAGATAAGGGAGAGGAATTGCGAGTCGTTCTGACAAAAACTGTGCGAGTCGTATTATTTAATTCATTATAAAATTTAGGTGAGAGAAAGGGAAAAGAGATGGAAAGAAAGAATGGGTTGAGTTTGATAAACAGAATAAATTTTAATATTCGACTATATCTTATATAAACGACAATTTATAGATTCTTATAGGCTTGTCACTTGTCTCAAATATATAAATATGTTTATTTTCTTTCATAATATTTAAAAATAGGTAAATATTCATTCAGACCATTATCAAATCCGATCAAACATTAGAAAATAAAATAATTATAGAAATGATCGCATGGCAGAGAAAATTGTAAACTTGTTTTTATTTGTTTTTTAATTTCAAGTTGCATCACATGTTGAGAATAATTTTTTTTTTAACGTTTTGGTCTCTCAGACTAACGACTTTTTAATTTACTGTTAAGTTTAAGTTGTCCACATGAATAACACATGTAATATCCTAATTTCGGGCCTAAAAGTTTCACCTTCTTTGATGATAAAAATAAATAATAAATAAAATAATAAATGTATTATAACATAGTTTAATGAAGTTTTGTAAAATAAATAATATGACTTTAAATAAAATAAGTGTTTGGACCTAATGAGTCGAAGATGTAAGTAGAATGACTAGTTTTGCCAAATAGAAAACTTAAAACCAAGGGTTGACTAGTCAATGACCATTTGACTAAGGAAAGTCATTCTTGTGATCAATGTATAAAATATGGAACTTCATTTAAATCTTTGGTCAAAATGTGTCAATTATGAGAAAAAAATGAAAAGGAAGGGGGTAATTGCTCTGGATGATCGTATACCCCAAATTACCACACTGTTATTTTTTATGATATGATAGCACTGCATGCTAGTGATAGGTTAGAGATCTTCAAGGATTGCATGATAGAATTGTCTGATGTATGATGTCTGATAGCCTAGGAGGACTTCTTGTATGAAATTGATATCATTATTGTAGTTACTTAGTGTATGCACCATAACATAACTAAGATTTTATAACTTGAGAATGTTTGATTTAGCCTTATTTCTCGTTCCTTGTTTGGTTGTGAGCTTAAGGTGGAATCAAGTATCCGACTGTCTATATGATCCAGTGTTATGTATGATTAGAATGCACGAGTGACTGCAGGGTTAGTGGATGTTTCATGGATGAGTATATGTGTAAGCAGCCGGCCATATGAGCAATGTTTAGCCACTCTCGATAGAGTGAAGATAGGATGTATGCGTATCCCGGTTGTTGTATTTGTTTCGGGTGTTTGTGATGATCCTTGAGACAAACACGGGTAAGTGTGGAAGGTAGTATGGGCCCGTACTACTGAAAGCACAGGACACGCATGCGTAGCAAGGAAGTCACGGGCTCCAAGGGTTTGGTCCCGCCATGTGATTGTAGCAATGTGTATTGTGGCCTTTTTGATGTATATATTGGTTTATTTTCAATATGGTGTTCACGAGAGGATCTGGTTCCGGATCTGAAATGAGTGGCCAGGATAGGCTAGGGTTGACTGATGATCAAATACGAGAGATGATTGTCGTTAAGGTGGCTACTGCTGTCCGGGGGATCTATTCCGGAGTTGTTTGGGTCTATCAAGACCGCCATGATTGAGCTCTTTGATGATCGATATGTTGCTCTTTCTAATGTTGTTGTTGCTGGAGCTACCACAACTGTTTCTACTGTAGGGATTCGAGGGAAGAGATCCTTCCAGTATCGGAACTTCGACTATACGAAGCCCTCGGAGTTTGATGGGGTCAAGGACCTGATTGTGGCAATGAGGTAGTTGTCTGATGTGGAGGGTTGTTTCTTCGCATGTTCTTGCCCTACTGACCAGAAGGTCAAGTGTGCCCTGTGCCTTCTCCGGTTGGGGGTGAAGGATTAGTGGAAATTGGTGACTAGTACTTACACTCCAGCGCAGATAGATGGTGTTACTTGGGAGCAGTTCTCAGAGATATTATGTGCGACATACGTTCCCTTGGTGGAGAGGGAGAGGTTGGCTCAGGAGTACTTGGATCTGAGACAGACGACAGAGACGGGTGACAAAGATCACCAAGATGTTTACTGAGAGGGCTCTTTTTTGCCATGATTTTACTGCTTCGGAACAGGCTCAGATGACTAGGTACTTATGCATGCTAAAGAGGGATATACGACAGTTCGTTTCCACCCAATGTTATCGTACCCTCACTGAGCTTCAGGATGCCGTGAGGAGACAAGAGATTAAGATCTAGATTCCGACGAGGGAGTTGAGGTAGGCTCCTATTCGGTCACAACTTGCAGGGAAGCGGTTCAAGCCCGCTGATTCGAGATCTGGGGGACAGAGGGGACGCACTTGTGGTGAGTGCGGCAAGGTTCATGACGGTTCTTTCTGATCATCATGTGGATGCCACAAATGTGGCAAGGAGGGGCATTATGCCAAGGATTGTCGTCAACAAGCCCCAATACCGAGTGCCATGATTTTGTTATCACTGTGATCCGGTGGGCCATGTGAAGGCCCATTGTCCATTGCCCGCGGCTAGTCTGGCACAGGCTCCAACGCCAACTACTCTGAGGATTATAGATGGACGCTAGGGTAGGGCGGAGCCCCCAAGGGCTCGAGGTCGTGCTTTCCATCTCACTGTAGAGGAGGCCAGGGCGGCGCCGGACATCGTTACTGGTATGTTTCCATTTATTATTGTTGTCAGTTATTTTATGGTATGCTTATGTTTATGATTTTGCTAGGTACCTTCTTAGTGAATTCCTTGCCCGCTCTTGTGCTTTTTGACTCGGGTGCGAGTCGGTCTTTCGTGTCCCACTCTTTCAGTAGGAATTTTGATAAGATTGTTGGAGAGTTGGAGTGTCCGTTGCGGGTTTCTATCGCCAAGGAACACAAGTTTCTGCATCGAGCGTTTGTCAGGGTTGTGTCTTAGAGATTTTTGGGGTGCCTTATGCAATTGATCAAATTCCTATCCCCATGGGGGATGTATGCATGATAGTAGGGATGGATTAGTTGAGTAGGTTTGTGGCTATGATTGATTGCGAGGGTCAATGGGTGGTGGTTCGAACCCCAAGTGGGGAAGAACTAGTTATTTATGGAGAGGGTACCAAGATTGAATAAGCCTTTTGTTCTGCTGCCATGGCTCGACAATATATTCAACATGGTTGTACGGGTTATCTTGTGTATGTGGACGATACTCGAGCTGGGAAGCAGGTTTCGATTTCGGATGTGCATATTGTTAGAGAGTTTGTTGATGTGTTCACGGAGGAATTACCTGGTGTGCCTCCTGAGAGGCACGTTGAGTTCAGGATCGATTTTGGTTCTAGGTGCGACTCTGATTGCTAAGGCATCGTACCGATTGGCACCACCTGAGATGCAAGAGTTGTCCTCACAACTTTAGGAGCTGTTGGGCAAGCAGTTTATTAGGCCGAGTAGTTCGTCGTGGAGAGCACCGATTTTGTTTGTAAAAAAGAAGGATGGTTCACACCGGATGTGCATTGATTACTGAGAGTTAAACAAGTTGACGGTGAAGAACCGTTACCCAATTCTACGGATTGATGACCTCTTCGATCAGTTGCAGGGTGCATCTTGGTTTTCCAAGATCGATTTGAGGTTGGGGTACCATCAGATGAGGGTTAGAGATGAGGACGTGGAGAAGATTGCATTTCAGAATCGTTATGGTCATTACGAGTTCGTGGTGATGTCATTTGGGCTCACCAATGCGCATGCGACATTTATGACCTTAATGAATTGGGTATGCAGGCCGGTGATCGATCGATTGGTCATTGTTTTTATTGATGATATATTGGTGTATTCCAAGACCAGGGAGCAGCATGAGGATCACCTTTGAGAGCTTCAGGGTGTTTTGAGGCGAGAATGGTTGTATGCCAAGTTCTCGAAGTGTGAGTTTTGGTTACGAGAGGTCCAGTTCTTGGGTAATCTATAACATCCCGACTCCCAGGTATAACATTTATATATTTATATCTTTAGGGTTGACTGAGTGACTCGCCGAGTTGGTTGACCAACTCGTCGAGTAGAGACAGATTGGCCACATGGATTTAATGACCAACTCGACGACTCAGAGAGCCGACTCGCCGAGTTGGAGCTGTGTGAGAAAACCCTAAATCCCCGGGTTTGTGACCTATTTAAAGGGCCTTAAGCCCTTATTTCCGCCTCACCAGCCGATGTGAATTTTTAATGCACTAGTTTTTTTATTTATAATTCCTAATTTATCGCATCTAAACCACACCTTACAGGCAGTGAACCCGATCGAGTATAATATAGCTTTCATAAGCAAGGGTGTCGAACACAAGGGGAACGGTAGTGAATTAATATTAGAATGTTTGATTATAGGTTATATAAAAATGCACAAAAGTAATAAGAAAAGTTATATTAAATTAAATCTCAACCAAACAATTAAATAGTAAATCTCGATAAACTGACAGAAGACAAATCTCTTTAGGTACATTGGTTTAGACATATTACATCTTAAAATCATAGATAATTGTACACACAGATTTGTTTATTCATGTTCACCGATTTCTAAAATGATTAGATTCATGTTCACTATTACTAATCCTTTAGCAAACAAGTCAATTCAAGCAGTGATCAATTGATTAAACTAACATGTTTCCTAGTGTTCAGTTCGCATCAAGCAAGACTTGTAATAATAGTTAATTAAATTTGTCAATTCAATCAACTTATATGTGGTTGGTCATCACACATGATCACACATTAACTTACTTATTTTCTAGTTAACCCTAGTTTCATGTTCACTATTCCTAGGAATATAATCTTATGTTCACAAAACTATATGATTCAAGCAATTAAGAAGATGTTCATGCAACTCGATAAAGTGATATTTAACAGAAAATAATTATCATCAATACATAAGGATATTTAACAAGCTTAACAAGATAAATTAAACAAGAATAAAACAATACAAATAACAATTAATCCATAAATCAAGGTTTCATATAATCATAAACACAAAGCAAATGGTTTTAACACCAAAATCAGAAAGTAAACACATAGTAGTATCACAGTGGAATGCTAAACATGGTCACGATAACAAACCACATGATTACCGACACGAATCCACTCTCTAATCCTTTAGATCTTCGCTCCTG